TCACGTCCGCTTCTAACTGCCCTGGCCCACCCAAAAACCTCCTCCATCGTCCGCGTGCTTTCCTGCCCGGCGCCAGCTGACCGCATTCATGCCGATGGTAGCGGCCGCTCCGCATTAACGCCAACCCAGAGCGGACGGAACCTCTCACTAGCGTCGGCATTGAAGTGGCGCGACGGGTAAGAGAGCGCCGCCCGCTACAAGCCCGGCTGAACACACCTCCTAGCGTGCCTGGCTGAACAAGCCTCCTCGCTTGCATCCATTAAATCCGCGCATGTGCCAAGAAACCTACCCCAGCCAGATGTCCGTTCGCGAACCGGTCGACACTAAACACAATGCCGGTTGGCTCCTCGCGTCCGCCGGCTATTTAAACAAGGCCAGACGTCGGGCAAGAACCCACCACACCTCCGCTCCCCATCTCCTCCTTGCACCATATTCTCCACACTATCCATGGCAACCGGCGAGCAGGAAGAGGGGTTCTCCGGCATAAAAGCCGACTGGGTGGCCCGTCAAGCCAGCCGGATATGAGTTAGGAAACTCGCTGGTCGACCTCCCTCGCCACACGAGGCTGTCATTACCATGGCGAGGCTGCAGGCTAGCGTGCGGAGGAGCAACTGGTCGCTCCAAGCCGGCACATGGTTCAGCAAGTCGCCGCTCCAAGCCAGCTCGCGGAGGAGCACGACGGCACGAGAAAAGTTGCTGACATGGACGAGGCAGTGTCATACTGCTCCTCCCGCGTCATCCACCGCAACTTGCGTGGAACCGCGCCTTGCCGATGGAGAAAGAATTCGGCGTCGTGGAGATCAAAGAGGCGGCTAGCACGTCCGAGGCCGTCGTTGACAGTGTGGAAAAGTAGATCATGGGAGGCCGCCTCCGATTGTGTCCCACGAAGGCCCCAACCAGCCCACGTGCACAACCAGTGTCTTGCACTCTTTGCAGGCCACCTTCGCCCCCGCCCCAAAAACCAACCCTGGTCCGTGCTTCATGGAAGCGGAGGCCACTCCGATGAGCAGCTCAGCCGTACATAGGGAAGGCATGGGAGTAGTGGAGGCTATTCTTCCCATCTCGCTGAAGCATATCCTTCCAAGGCATCCGACAGTCCGACAGCGGGCTGCCGGACATGGAAAAGACATGTCAGCGAAGGGGCCACAGAGGGCTGCTGAGGGTCAGGGGCTTCATTTTACACGACTCACGGCTGGCCGGAGATGGGGAATGGGCGTCGACGCTCATTTTAGTCTAGGTTTAGAGTCTGATCTAGTTGAAAGATGTCTAACTGTAATGAATTTGCTTCAGTTTAGATGAAAAGCATCTAGTTTTATGTAAAAAATGTCTGGTTTGTTTGAGTTTGAATCAAATTTGTTTATTTTCATTTGAAATGTAACTGAACATATGCAGCTAGCTTTGGATGGACGGCTCCCGCATCTATGTCTTCGGACTAGTCCCCCTGT